TAACAGTGTCATGAAAGAAAGGGATCTTGGTATAACAGTTGATCAGTCTCTAAAGCCACCCAATAATCACTTGATTTATAATTAAAGCGTCAAACAGTAAGTTTTAATTATTTAATGATATCCAAATAAACGTCTTTTTAGGACGATTTAAATATAAATGACCAGGAAATGTAATTAAATAATAAATTAGTGTTAAGCATCTTTTTTCATGACGATTAACATATAAATGGTCAGGAAATGGGATTAACTAATGAATTAGCACATTATATTGATCGCATTCGTACTGGCCCCACTTTGTTGAACTATAACGTCATGGACATCTGTGATGGTGGCCTATGAACATGAACTAACAACGCGCCCTCTGGTGATATTATGTGGAACTATGACGTCATGGTAGCCTGTCATGACGGCCTAGCAACGTGTCTCTAACAACGCTCCCTCTGGTGACACTTTGTGGAAATATGACGTCATCGTCTTTGATGGCGTCATTGTGTCTCTCCTTTCCTCCATCCCTTGAGGTCAACATATATTTATCGCCCTCTGGCGACGCGTCTGAAGTGATGACCTTTTAATAGGAATAAGGTGTTTAATAACTGACGTCACGTATTGTTGTAACAAAGATATTTATTTCTCTGAAACTGGTTTCATTGTTATTGTCTACACATTTTCGATATACTGTTTGGATGTATAATGTAATGCACATTAACAAAACTTAGTAGATTTTTTTCCTAATTACTTTCACAGGGCAGAACAATAACACCTTAATCTATAACACTAACAATGATATTGATTATTGAACTTCTGAATCACAGTGCATATCTAAACATTCACCTTCTCTACACCTAACTAGACAAATATCTTCTGTACATGTTAACCAGATAATCATCTTCTATATATCTAACCTGACATCCATTTTCTATGTATTTAACCAGACACACAAAAAAAAGAAGATGGTATTGTTTACCTTCTTCTCTATCACTTAAAAATTACGGACTGCTTGTGCAGATGGCCCTCATGTAGCTTTGTGGAAAATTCAAAAACAAACAAACGTGATCTTAACATTGTTTCAATTCAATTTTGTGGCAAACATACGCGAACAATGAACCCTCGGATTCATAATTAGGCATGCTAACTACTAGACCACGCCCAGCCCTGAATATCGTTGGTTTCAAATTGAAATAATAGCTTTCTTACCTTCTGGAAAAAGTGCGTTGTGGAATAAGAAGATAACAACAAAAATACTTCTTTTTGACGGCAACATCCTTCACGGTATCTGGTGTAGAGATAAATATAGAGTGATACACAAAAATTATTAATGATTCTCTAGTCATCACGAACATAGTAACTAAGGCACGATAGAAAAAGTCATATTACTGTTAACACTCAGTAATAAATATACGATATAAGAAGACAAATCACAGTTAACACTTAGTAACTAAGGTACAATATTAGAAGAACAACCAGTGTTACACTTAGTAACCAAGGTACAATATTAAAAGAACAACCACAGCTGATACTTAGTAAGCAAGGTATGATATTATAAAAAGAATCATTGTTAATAATTAGTAATCAAGGTACAATATTATAACACATATCACTGTTAACACTTAGTAACCAAGATATAATATTAGAAGAACAATCAATGTTAACACTTAGTAACCAAGGTAAAATATTAGAAAAATAATCAGTGTTAACACTTAGTAACCAAGGTATAATAGTAGAAAAACAATCACTGTGAACATTTAGTAACCAAAGTACAATATTAGAACACATATCACTGTTAACGCTTAGTAATCAAGGCACAATATTAGAAGAACAATCACTGTTAAAACTTAGTAACTAAGGTAAAGTATTAGAAGAACAATAACTGTTAACACTTAGTAACTAAGGTACAATATTAGAAGAACAATAACAGTTAACACTTAGTAATTAAGGTACAATATTAGAAGAACAATAACAGTTAACATTTAGTAACCAAGGTATGATATTAGAAGAACAATAACAGTTAACACTTAGTAACCAAAGTATGGTATTAGAAGAACAATAACTGGTAACACTTAGTAGATAAGGTACAATATTAGAAGAACAATAACATTTAACACTTAGTAACCAAAGTATGGTATTAGAAGAACAATAACTGTTAACGCTTAGTAACTAAGGTACAATATTAGAAGAACAATAACAGTTAACATTTAGTAACCAAGGTATGATATTAGAAGAACAATAACAGTTAACACTTAGTAACCAAAGTATGTTATTAGAAGAACAATAACACTTAGTAACCAAGGTATTATAGTTTACTGGGAAGCAAAGTTTGAGGAGATTAATATAACATTTTACCTTTTCCTTTTTCACTTCTTCTCCAGTAAGACATCTGGCTGTTGAAAACACGCAGTACCACCCATCTTTCAATGCTCCTCTCAGTTGGCTGGATATTTCTGTTGTGTTATGTACAGTTTCCCGCAGGGGCGAGACGCTCAGTTGCTACTTGTTTTAGTCCAAACCCCAAATTTTCCTTCTGCGACTCGTATGCCTCGTGTGTTTAAAATGGTTTTATCCAAACTTGATCAACATTATCGTGTACTTGTAACCAGAGCAATATTGAGGCAGGTGAATCAACAAATCACATCAAAAACAAAGCTTAATCTGTGATTCCTTCTTTACCCGGTACTCTAAACGACTTTGTAAGATACTTAAACCAATACGATTAAAGAACCTGACAAGAAAAAACTTCACCTGCATAAACTATGAGAAATCCCCCTTCCTTTTTACGTAAACTAACTCAAGGTCATTTCAGTTGGGAACAAGACGCCTAAAATACAGCCTTTCTTATGTGAAGGTCATGCACAGTGCGGTGAAAAAAACAAGCCACTCCATTCAAAACGGACTCAAACTGTGTACTACACCTTCTTCAAAACTGTCGTGTTAATAAACCTTCTTTAAACTGTCGTGAATTAAACCTTCTTCAAACTGTCGTGTATTAAACTATCTTCAAACTGTCGTGTTAATAACCCTTCTTCAAACTGTCGTGTATTAAACCTTCTTCAAACTGTCGTGTATTAAACCTTCTTCGAACTGTCGTGTATTAAACCTTTTTCAAACTGTCGTTATTAAACTTTCTTCAAACTGTAGTTAATAAACCTTCTTCAAACTGTCGTTATTAAACCTTCTTCAAACTGTCGTGTTAATAAACCTTCTTCAAACTGTCGTTTACTAAACCTCACTGAAGGTACATGTAATATTTCTAGTAACATACAAATAAACGTGAAGAAAGCAACGATGTCTTACACAACAGTAAAATGTAGGACAAGTTTGATTATAAAGTAGGACTTCTGTTTCAGCATTGAGTTCTTGATACATAAACAGTCATAGTAGAGTACAAGGTTAAAACTGGTATTTTTTACCTTCACTCACTTCTACCACAGATATGTTAGGGTTAAGAGAAGGGTATTTAAGAAGTGACATATATATATAGATATACACAGAAAGTAGCCCCTTTTCTACTATAATTAGAAAAATCGTATTTAGGTTATGAAATGAAAAAAATAAGCCAACTATCGTTTCTCCTCAAAGAAGCAACTAAAGAAGCGGTACTATCTCTACTTTTCTTTTCTACTGATAATTTTAATAGTTTTTGATATTCCTCTGTTAAAGCTGCGTGACAGAGGTGTTATTAATAGCTTCTGTCTCGGTTGAAGTCAACGATATCTGGTCAACGTGTTATACATCCAGTAAAATTGTATACCAACACCTTCCCTTCCATAACACTACAGGATCTAATTTGTTTGTTTGTAGACTTACCGCTGTCCCACCGAGGGACCTATAGTTCGTTAACAACCATTTCAAAACTACCTGACAAGTTCTTTGAACCCAGGAGGGTTTACCCCACAATCCCGGTACTTTTATCCAACAAACATTATTGCAATATTTGCGGGAGGTAGTATTTTGGAGTCAGAGGGAGTCAAAATTCCGGTGCTTTTTCTTTTTTTAACAAACATTATCATCATATTCACGGGGAGGATTTTTGGGTCAGGAGGATATACCCCACAATCCCGGTGCTTTATTTTAATAAGCATCATTATTATAATCACAGGGGAATTTGGAGTTAGGAGGGTCTCCCCACAATCCGGTGCTTTTTTTTTCAACAATCATTATTATCAGAACCACGTTCATGATGTTAGAAAAACACGTAGTTTGCCACTGACGAAGAAAGGTCCACTTTTCGAAAGCGCTCTGGTTATAGGGTTTTTATTCATTTCTATCATAACCACGTGATACACTTGCGGAGAATCAGGTCATCTAGAAACCAGTACATGATGAATTTGTTTTTTGTACAGAATGTGTGTCTATAACGATAATTTAGTAATTGTTTCGTAAAAGGACAAATGATATTTTAAGTATTACTCGATATTTTTAATTTACTTTTAGATTTCCTTTGTTACAATTTTCACGTGTTATGCAAAATGTTCGGGGTTTTTTCTTTCACTTTCGAGAACAACTAAAGACTGGATTTGAAATTCGCCGAAAAGAAGACAGAAAAGTTTCAGTGAGATTTTATCTACGTTATGCGACGGGTGTTGGCAGCCTACTCGTGCTCAAGCTGCGAGTCATTGGATTTCTGATTCATAACCCATTTTCATAAAATAGCTGTCCGTATTTTGAGACCATGGGTGTGCTACAAGAGTGACAGCCAACTAACACTATTTAGTCAGACGTCATTTGCCAAAGAGATGGAGAATGGTGCTGAGCACGAGCCTTGTCCCCACTACTCTATGAAACGATAGTCCTAGAGAAACCTTTCGCGAAATCCTCAAACAGACTTAACGTACCGACAAATTTTCCCCTAAACAGCCGACACGTTTATCGGCAATTTTATAACGATCGAAAATAAATGTTTATTAGGTGAAGTGACTTAAAAATACTACAGAATTCGTAAAGAATAAAAACAAATACAATCTGGACACGTGATAGGAGATGCTAAAGTAAAAGTTTAACTAAGATGCACATTATGGTGACTTGAGAAAATATGCTAAAAATATACAGAAAGAAACAGATGAACTATGTAACGAATTTGTTATATATTTATTTTAATATGAACATTGTTTAGATTAAGTTTATATTTTAAAACATGAGTAGCCTATAGTGTTAGATATGTATTACTTAACTCCCGCCTATTATCCAAATTTGTAGAAGATTCTCGAGATTAAGAATCAAAAGTATATGTGTGTACTTAAACGCTTTAATCAGTATTGTAACGTAAGACTGAATTTTCTAGAAAACTTTCCCACGGCTATAAATATAACTAACGCAATGCGCCAAGAGAGAGTGTCTATTATTAGTTCGCTACAATCAATGTGCTATAAAATTTCAAAAGCTATAACTGTGATTTTTATAACGCTTATCAATTGGAAAACTTAAAATATTTGACCAGGAATAATTATGAATTTCGAATGTTACAAATTGTTTAACTTCAGTGGATTCTCATAGGACATTAGGATTTTTACGAAAACATCACCCAACTTCAACAGTGAAAACAGCGTGTGTGGCCAAGGAGACAAAGCTAGCTAGCTTCCCAGTGAATCATACTTACATCAACTCGCTCATCGTAAACCCTCGAGAAGATATCAAGTAAGTTCCAGACTAGAAAGAAAACTTTATATTGTTTGCAAGTTTGAGAAACTTTTGTTTATAAATCATAATAACTATTTGTAATAATTGTTACTGTAAATTGTATTGTTGTGTGTATATTAAAACGTATTTGTGTGAAAAACGAAGACGGTATGTATCAGTCTTGTTGGCAAATATCATAAACTGACTATATATTGGCATATATTTAAATACTAAATCCAAAGTATAATTTAACTACCAAATTTAAATTATCAGTTAACTCGGCTTCGCACTATTCGAAATTCTAATATGTAACAACTAAGAAACCCAATCTGGTGTTTATACAGATAGAAACAGTTTAATATAAATACACACGTGAGAAAAGATGCTAAAGATTTACAGAAAGAAATAGTTCAACTAAGCTACACAAAATCCGGTCACTTGAGAAAAGATGCTAAATATACAGAGAAAGAAACAGCTTAACTAAAATATATAATCTGATGACAAGAGAAAAGATGCTAAAGATATACATAAAGAAACAGTTTAACTAAAATACATAACCTGATGACGTGAGAAAAGACCCTAAAGACACACAGAAAGAAACGGTTTAACAAAGGTACACGATCTGATGACGTGAGAAAAGATGCTAAAGATATACAGAAAAAACAGCTTAACTAAGATACATAATTTGATGACGTGAGAGAAGATGCCAAAGACTTACAGAAATAAAGTTTAACTAAAATACATAATCTAATGCCTTTAGAGAATATGCTAGTGATATACAGAAAGAAACAGCTTAACTAAAATACATATTTTGATGACGTGAAAAATACACTAAGTATATACACAAAGAAACAGTATAACTGATATACATAATCTGAGTATTTAAGAAAGTTGCTAAAGATATATAGAGTGAAACAGTTTAACTAAGATACACAGCTGGTGACTTGAGAAAAGATGCTACAGATATATAGTTAGAATCAGTTTAACTACGAATACGTGATAGGAGATGCTAAAGATATACAAAAAGAAAAAGTTTAACTAAGATACACAATCTGATGATGTGAGAAAAGATGCTGAATGTATCGTAATGTCTCTATTATTTTGTATTTTAATTATAATATTTGACATAAACACTTGGTAGAGATATATTGTACCTTGACATGTGAATTGTTTTGTTGTACAAACAATACTGGTCCACGTATCCTTCGCTCACCCAACATGATCCTTGATATGTGAATTGTTTGGTATGTACAAACAATGCTGGACCAAGTACATTTAGCTCATCGAACATGTTCCTTGGCATGTGAATTGTTTTGTTCTACAAAACAATGCTGGTCCACGTATCTTTAGCTCACGGAACAGGTTCCTTGACATGTGAATTGTTTTGTTGTACAAACAATGCTGGTCCACGTATCTTTAGCTCACGGAACAGGTTCCTTGACATGTGAATTGTTTTGTTGTACAAACAATGCTGGTCCACGTATCTTTAGATCACGGAACAGGTTCCTTGACATGTGAATTGTTTTGTTGTACAAACAATGGTGGTCCACTTATCCTTCGCTCACCAAAGATGTTCCTTGACATGTGAATTATTTTGTTGTACAAACAATGTACATAATTGGTACAATATATCTGTACCAATTATGCAAAATACCTTGTTTGCATCACTTTTGATTATATCACAGCTTCCTGCCAAGGGAAGTAATTTACAGACCAATTTATAGATAATATCCAACTACTTGAGCTATGCTTTACACCAAATCAACTCAAGAACCACGGGCTTACCAACCACACCATTACAGAAGAATTCTCATGTTAAAATAAAAAAATCCAAGGGAAGAATGGGATGTAATATCCACGTTATTATTCTGTTGTTGTGGTGTGAACCACTTCCATGTTGTCATGGTGTAGACATATCTGCATTATTATTCTGTAATTTATTTATAATGTTTTTATTCTGTACCAATTATGCAGAACAGCTTGTTTGCCCTACTAGCACCACTTGTGCTTATATTATAGCTTTCTGCTGAGACAGGCAGTTTTTAGAGAAATATATGCCAAGAACAGTACACAGTGTGTGAGGGTCTTTATTGAGAAAACATTACAATGGTGTAGACAACTTACATGTTGTCAAGGTTTAGATAACTTCCATATTGTCAGGGTGTAGACAACTTACATGTTGTCATGGTGTAAACAACTTCCATATTGTCATGGTTGTCTACACTATGATAACATGGAAGTTATCTACAGAAGTTATCTAAACCTTGATAACATGTAAGTTGTCTACACTATGATAACATTGAAGTTATCTACATCATGACAATATGGAAGTTGTCTACATCCTGACAACATGTAAGTTGTCTACACCCTGACAACATGGGGTGTAGACAACTTCCTTGTTATCATAGTGCAGACAACTTCCACGTTATAAAGGTGTAGACAACTTCCATGTTATAAAGGTGTAGACAACTTCCATGTTATCAAGGTGTAGACAAATTCCAGGTTAAAAGGTGTAGACAACTTCCCCGTTGCAAAGGAGTAGACAACTTCCACGTTATAAAGGTGTAGACAACTTCCACGTTATAAAGGTGTAGACAAATTCCAGGTTATAAAGGTGTAGACAACTTCCATGTTATCAAGGTGTAGACAACTTCTATGTTATCAAGGTGTAGACAAATTCCAAGTTAAAAGGTGTAGACAACTTCCACATTATAAAGGTGTAGACAACTTCCCAGTTATAAAGGTGTAGACAACTTCCACGTTATAAAGGTGTAGACAAATTCCAGGTTATAAAGGTGTAGACAACTTCCATGTTATCAAGGTGTAGACAACTTCTATGTTATCAAGGTGTAGACAAATTCCAAGTTAAAAGGTGTAGACAACTTCCACATTATAAAGGTGTAGACAACTTCCCAGTTATAAAGGTGTAGACAACTTCCATGTTATCAAGGTGTAGACAACTTCTATGTTATCAAGGTGTAGACAAATTCCAAGTTAAAAGGTGTAGACAACTTCCACATTATAAAGGTGTAGACAACTTCCCAGTTATAAAGGTGTAGACAACTTCCATGTTAT